TCCCAGGAATGCTGGCCCCTCACTCTGCCCTTAGTTTCTGGTTTTCTTGCCCACTGCTTTCTGAAATTGGGTTGCCCTGAATTCAAATCCTAAATTTGCCACTTATCAGGCCATATGATACCTTGGAAAACTTAACTTCTCTGAACCTCATTTTCCTTATTTGTAAAATGGAGATAACAGTAGTAATGTTATGAGAATTAAATTAGGTAATTCAAGTAAATCGTGTCGGATGCCTTAAAAAATGTTAACACATTATGTTCTCATTGCCCAGTCTAGCTGAATCAGACTTAGGGCAGGAGACTCTAGTCTGCAGCTTCAGGAGAATTTGCCCTTCCTGTCAGTCTCCAGTCTGCAGAAGAGTGGGATCCTCAGTGGCTTCTGGCTGGATGCCCTCCTTTTGGAATATAAATGCTAACTGACAGGGAAGTGATAGCCTTGGCAAAGAGTTCCCTATTGCCCAGAGTTGCTCTAAAACAGGTTGGCTGGTTTCATTGTCCCAGCTGGAGCTTCAGCCTAGACTTCCCTGAGAGCACCCACCTGGGCTAAGGAAATGCCCACTAGCCTTCCAACAGGTATAGGTGGTGAACTAAAAAGAAATTTCAGTAAACACCCTACAAATCTAATGCAAGCAAAAGTCCTACCCTCAATTCCCCTAGAGACCACATTTAACTTGAGGAGTTGTGTCTCAGTGGAAACAATGCAGGTATCACCCTCTCAGTGACAGAGCAGTTGACTTTGTAATAAAACAGCCATCAGGGGCACCTGGGTGGCTCAGTTCGTTAAGCGTCTGCCTTCAGCTCGCTCAGGATCCTAGGGTCCTAGGATGGAGCCCCGTGTGGGCTCTCTGTTCAGCAGGGAGCCTGCTTCTCCCTCTCCCTCTGCCTGCTGCTCTACCTGCTTGTGCTCTCTGTATCAAATAAATAAAATCTTAAGAAAAAACAGCAATCAAAAGAGGACAGTGGACACCCAGACTTCAATTGTGCTCTAAGCAAGATCCTCTGCCCCCAGAGAACTTAAAACTGAGTCTGTTGGTGTTGCTTTTGCTTTTCTTTTTCTTTCTTTCTTTTTTTGCTTTTCATGAGAGTTTGCTGCATAGATATTTGAGGTAAGAAAGACTGGGAGTGGGGCGCCTGGGTGGCTCAGTCATTACACGTCTGCCTTCGGCTCAGGTCATGATCCTGGGGTCCTGGGATCGAGCCCCGCATTGGGCTCCCTGCTCGGCGGGAAGCCTGCTTCTCCCTCTCCCACTCCCCCTGCTTGTGTTCCTGCTCTCTCTCTCTGTCAAATAAATAAATAAAATCTTAAAAAAGACTGGGAGGGAGAGCTGCTTCAAACTCTAGTTGTTTTTTTAAGCAATTGTTACAATAGTAAGACACAAGAAACATTCCTCAGAAAACCAATTAGCAGTCTCCCCCAGGGCTGCTGCCCCACACAGAGTTAGACCATGGTGCTGGCTCCTCATAAACAATGTAGTTTCCCAACTCATTGGTGCTAAGGATGCTGGAAATTAAACTAGTTACTTAGGAAGACAATATGGCATTTGGCATTCTTACTTCTGTAGCATAGGGCATACTTCTGTGCATGCCTTCTGTTTCAATGAGTGGTTAAGAGTTGAGAAAACATTCTAAACCCCTCACAAACACTTTTTACAGTACAAATTGTTACTACCTATATTTTTAAAAATTTTTTTCATTGCATTGCCTTGTAACCAATACTCCAATTAAGATACAGAACATTTAAAAAATAAAAAAGATACAGAATATTTTCATCACCCCTGAAAGTTCTCTTTTGTCCTTTCAACCAGTCCTACTCACCCCAGCCCATTCCCCAGCAACCACTGTTCTGATTTCTATCACTAGAGATTGGAAATACATACTTATTTTTCTTTTTTAAAGATTTTTATTTGACAGAGAGAGACACAGTGAGAGAGGGAACACAAGCAGGGGGAGTGGGAGAGGGAGAAGCAGGCTTCCCGCAGAGCAGGGAGCCCGATGCGGGGCTCGAACCCAGGACCCTGGGATCATGACCTGAGCCGAAGGCAGACGCTTAATGACTGAGCCACCCAGGCGCCCCTACATACCTATTTTGAACTTACATAAACGGAAACGTGTTATGCACTCTGTTTCTGATTCTTTTGCTCAACATAATGTCTATAAGACGGCAAAGCTCTCATTTCTGTTGCTGTATTCATCAGTACTTCATTCCTTTTTTTGCTTTTTAAATCAATGTTATTGGGAAGTATAATTTATATACATTAAAATGGCTTTTTAAATATACAGTTCCACTAGTTTGTTTTGTTTTTAAAGATTTCACTTATTTATTTGAGAGACCGAGAGAGCACAAGTGGGGGGGGGAAGGGGCAGAGGAAGAGGGAGAAGCAGACTCCCCACTCAGTGGGGAGCCCAACGACAGGCTGGAATCAACTGAGTCACCCAAGTGCCCCCAGTTTCACGAGTTTTGACAAATTTATACATCTACGTAACCAAGACCCCAATCAAGATATAGAACATTTTGGAATGCCTGGCTGGCTCAGTCGGTGGAGCAGATGACTCTTGATATCAGGGTTGTGAGTTCCAGCCCCACGCTGGGTGTAGAGATTACTTAAAAATAAAATTTAGGGGCACCTGGGTGGCTCAGTCGGTTAAGTGTCTGACTTCGGCTCAGGTCATGATCCTGGGGTCCTGGGATCGAGTCCCACATCAGGCTCCCTGCTCGGTGGGGAGCCTACTTCTCCCTCTCCCTCTATCGCTCCCCCTGCTTGTGCTCTGTCAAATAAATAAATTTTATTCATTTATTTGACAGAGAGATAGAAAGCACAAGTAGGCAGAGCAGCAGGCAGAGGGAGAGGGAGAAGCAGGCTCCCCACTGAGCAGGGAGCCCGATGAGGGGCTCGATCCCAGGACTCTGCGATCATGACCCGAGCTGAAAGCAGACGCTTAACCAACTGAGCCACCCAGGTGCCCCAGAATAAATAAAATCTTAAAAAAAAAAAAAAAAAAGATATTTCTGTCACCCAGGAAGTTCCCTTGTGTCCTGCTCAATCTTCCTTCGTCCAGGTGCATTGCCCCCAGATGATTGTTCTCACTAGAGATTTCCCTTTTCCTATTTTTGACTTGCATATACATGGATCCTACAGTATTGCATCTCTTATGTCTGACATCTTTCCTTCAATACAATCTCTAAGATTCACCTACTTCATCATGAATAGTTTATTCCTTTTTATTGCTGAGTAGTAATTCAATGAATAAACATACCATAATGTGTTTGTTTTTTTTCTTTAATTTTATTTATTTATTTGACAGAGAGAGACACAGCGAGAGAGGGAACACAAGCAGGGGGAGTGGGAGAGGGAGAAGCAGGCTTCCCGCCGAGCGGGGAGCCCAATGCGGGACTCGATCCCAGGACCCTGGGGTCATGACCTGAGCCGAAGGCAGACGCTTAATGACTGAGCCACCAGGCGCCCCTACCATAATGTGTTTATCCGTTCTCCTGTTGATGGACATTTGGGTTTCTAGTCTGGGGCTATTTTGATGAAGTTTGCTATAAACATTTGTGTACAAGTCTTTCTATGGACGTATGTTTCATTTCTCTTGGATAGTAACTAGGAGTAGATTTGCTGGGTCACAGAGTAGGTGTAGGTTTAACTTCGTGAGAAACTGCCAAACATACAAAACCACTGTGCCATTGTACATTCTCTGCAGAAGCTATGGGAGTTCCAGTTGTTCCTGACAAAGTTTCCTTGCCTGACCAAACTTTAGTCAGGTTCTTGAACCTTCTACTAAGCCTATCTGTGCAGTTCCTAAAATCCAATTTTAGCAAGAACCACGCCCACACACACACTTGGTATTTGGTCACCCTCAATATCTGATAGGTTCTTCATCTTTGCACCATCCCCCAGGTGATGTCTGATGTCTTACCCTTCATCAGCAAGAATCCTATTAGGTTAGCTTAACCAGAATTCCCCTACACCTTTATGTTTCCTCTTAGTAATTTTCCATCCACTGACCACTCCCCACCACCACCACCCTGCGCCTGGGCTATAAGTTCCCTTTCATTCATGCTGTGTCTGACCCTCACTGAAAAATCCCATTGTAGTGGTCCCTATATCTATCTCATGTGCCTTACCATCTCTACCATGTCGTTGAATAATTTTTTAACATTCCACATTCTTACCAACACATGGTAGATTAATTTTTAATTTTAGCCATTCTAGCAGTGTGCAGTGGTATCTTATTGTGGCTTTGATTTGCATTTCCTTAATAACCAGTGATTTCCAGCTCTTTTTCATGTGCTTACTAACCACGTTATCCTCTTTTGCAAAGTGTTCAAGTCATTCATACGTTTTGACATAAATGTTGCAATTAAAAATGTCCTGAAGTAATACATTCTGAACTAAAATCTCTATTAAATCTATTCATCCACACATTAAAAAATATCGAGAGGCTACTATGTGTCATGAATTTTTCTAGGTTCACAAATTCGTTGTGACTAAGAGATAAAATTTTGCTCTTGCTTGAAGAGTTCATATTCTGGGGTGGGATACGAGAGATAGAAAGCAAACCGAAAGCAAACAAGATGATTTTTGATGGTATGGAGATGCTCACTGCATATTAATGATAAAACGTTGAAAACAACCTATAACCCCAAGGTGACAGAGGTAGGGGAGTTAGGTAATTTATGCGATATGGGTTTGATGCACTATTACAATGTCATGAAATCGATAATTATAACACGAAAAAATACTTAGCCATATAATAAAAAGGTCAAATTTAAAATTATATGTGTACGTTTAGGTCTATGTAAAACACCCGTGCTTTGATGCATATGGATGAAGACTGGAAGGACCCAGAAGAAAAATATAACGCTACTGTGTGAATTCGAAGTGGTGGAATTACGGGGGTCTAAGGGCTCTTGGTTTCGTTTTGATTTTTGTTGTCTTACAGGCTACCGCGTTCTTAACAGCAGAAACCGGCCATCTACAGCATTCTCACGGGACTTACCTTAAGTCTTTAGAATTCACAGAGACACGTGACAGGCTTAAAATAAAACATGGGTTACTTCGTGCGAAGTTAGGCAATAAAGTGAAGACTAAGAGTTTGACTTCGCAGAGCTTGGGGACTTCAAGGCGCGAAGAGACTGCTCCCGGGGAAGTCGGAGATAGACTCGCGTCGGCGGCGTACGACCAAAAGAGGCGACGCTGCAGCGCATGCCCGGCGCGGCGCGGAATAGTGACGCCTGCGCCGGGCGGGAACTGACGTCACTTTCGGCACCGTCGCTTCCGGTCTGTGTGGGGGAGGTTCTCGCGCAGGCCGGGGACTCAGGGCAGGTGTTGGCACGCGTGCGGTGAATTTTTTCGTGAGTCGGCCTCCCTTCCCGCTGGATCATGGCCACCGACTCGTGGGCCCTGGCAGTGGACGAGCAGGAAGCGGCTGTCAAGTCGGTCAGTGGCTTCAGCTCACGCGGGGCGAACGTAGCAGGGGCCCGAGCGGATCCTAATAGGAGCCTAGGGAGCTGCCCGGGGTGGGCAGGCTTGTGGCCCACATCTCCGTAGAGTTTGCCGCGGGGAATCACGTAGCCCCGATTTGTGTCGGGGGCGAAAGAGACTAACCTCGGCCTTGTTCTTTTCATCTGGGCTAGTTAAAGACTTCTTTTTGCCCTGGACCAAATTTGTTCCCACTTTGTATGTTTTTTTCTGTTGCACCCCCTTCTCGAAGGGGGAGGGTTGTGGGGAAATTTAGATGGTGATTCTCTAGTCTGTTTTCTGAGTGATTTGTGCTAAACATTTTTAGGTTTGTGCTTAACATGGTTGGCAGTTTGTAGATCTTTCAAGAATAAGAGATTCAGGTTTAGATTTAGTGTTTCAATCTACTGCAAATGTCGGCGGGAGGCCCTACAAATTGTTTCGTTATGTTTGAAGTGATGTTTAATCTCATATACTGGTTCTTTGATTAATGAAGATCCATTCAACTGGAAGGTAATTAGAGTGTAAACTGGTTTTCTGTTCTTATATCTTAGTTTAGGTTTGTTTAGTGATAATGCACTATTGATTTTAATAGTTTGTGTTAGTTTGATAGTCTGAAGTCTTACAACTTTTTAATGGCTAAGTTACATTTCTTTTCCAGTCATCCTTGATTACTTTGGGAGGATTGTCAGTTTGTCAGCAAATGTTATGGGCTAAATCTAGTGGAGTATAGGAAGAATCTTTACAGTCTAGACGGGAAGGTGAGAATGTGGGAAGTGCTGTGAAAATGGTAAGAATAATGTGGTAAGTGATCTCTGGAGAGGACGTTTATGAGTAGGAAATAGGGAAATTCTTTGTGAAGTTTACATTTACAAATGGATGTTAGAGGATGAATCATTTAAGATAAAGGTGAATGGCATTTTAGGAGAAAATGAACAAAGGGGCTGGACTTGTCTAGAGAGCAAGAATCAACTCATTTTTGCTGCAGCCTACGTTTATAGGTTGTAATAGTAGCTGTACAGAAAATATCGTATAGAGGTACTTTGCAACGTTAATTGAAAACTTAGGAGAGACTTAACTTGGTCGATCTGGGGATTTTTCAGGAGGATATGGGACAAGATTAGATCTGAGAGCTGGCAAGATTTATCAAACTACAGAGAATATTAGAAGGAGTGATGTCCGAAGGAAAGGCAATCAGTGTGGCAGTTTGTCTAGCCCAGAGAGGGCGTATGTTGTTGGGTGGTGGAAGTGACAATGAAGAGACGGATTTAGGAGAATTATGGCAGTATAAAGAGTAGGATTTAAGAAAAAGGCAAAGGTTGCTGTTTGCAGTCGGGAGCCCACAGGTGGTATTAGTAAAATGCTAATAACAGGACTAGGGAAGTGGGAGGAAGGGCAGATTTGATATGGAGGATTGGCTCTTCTGATTTTGAGGTAAGGAGGACATCTTGGTAAGTACCTGTGATGAGAATCCCCAAGAATAGTCCAAGTTCAGTGATTTCCTGGGAAAACTCACAGGACCTAGCATAAAATTGTACTCGCAGCTATATTTATTACAATGAAAAGATACAAAGCAACATTTGCAAAAGGAAAAGGCACATCTAGCAGAGTCCAGAGGAAACCAGCTTTCGAGAATCCTCTCCTAGTGGACTTACGTACTCAGCTTGATTAAGTCCTGCAGCAGCTAATTGTAACAGCACATGTGAAGTGTTGTCAGGGAAGCTCTTTAGAGACTCAGTTCTCAGGGTTCTTATGGGGGGGGGGGGGGAGACAAAGTCACCCTCTGCCTAGCGTGTACCAAAATTCCAGGCTTGCAGAAGGAAAACAGGTGTTTAACATAAGTCACATGTTTTTCAAACGGTTTAGGCATAGCAAACCCCCTCAGCAGTTCTAGGAATGGTGGGAACCCTTATGAAGTCCAAGTCCCCAGATGCAGGACAGCGGCCAGCCTTGCAAGCTGGCTTTTCTAAGGATAGGAAACTGTTAGCTGTGTTAACTGTTTCCTGCACAGCACCTATCTTGCATTTGGAAATGTGGCATTGGAGTTCAGGAGAAGAATCCGGGCAGGTAATAAAACTGGCTGTTACCCACAAAGAAATCAAAGAGTATTACAAAGGATAAGGTTCTGGCACAGTAGGATTTAAGATCCACTGTTTCGCACCAGATCTTTCCTAAAAGTTACTGAGACTTGGTTTCAAATCTTTTTAAGCCTATGACTCTAATCTAGCTATGATATTATGGATATTGTAAATATCCATACTTGGTATCTGCTTTTAATCACTCTGCTTCTCTGGAGGCTGGTATAAATAAATGTGTTAAGACACTGCTTCCTAGGAGCATCCAGGTGGCTCAGTCGGTTGAGCATGCGACTCTTAGTTTTGGCTCAGGTCATAATCTTGGGGTCATTTGATCTAGCCCTGAATCGGGCTCCCTGCTCAGAGCAGAGTCAGCTTAGGATTCCCTCTCTTTCCCTCCCCCCTGCTCGCGCAAGCTCTCTCTCTCTCAAGTAATAAAATTTTTAAAAACAAAACATTGCTTCCTAATAGTTGGGGAAGACCACCCCCCCTTTTTTTTATTTTACCATGTAGACTTGTGTAACTTAGCTTAAAAATAATTTATGATGTTAGGTTATCATGTGACCATGCTCTCAAGTGTACAGGTAGTGAATGAAAATGACAGAGAAGATGACAGAGTACGCACAATGATAAAGATCTTATGGGACGCCTGGGTGGCTCAGCTGGCTAGTGTCTGCCTTCGGCTCGGGTCATAATCCCAGCGTCCTGGGGTGGAGTCCTGCAGGGAGCCTGCTTCTCCCTCTGCTTGCCGCTCCCCCTGCTTGTGTGCACTCTCCGTCTCTCTCTCTGACAAATAAATAAAATCTTAAAAAAGATCTTAACTTACACACAGTGAGGATTTTTGTTTGGTTTAAGCTTATGTAGTCAAGGATGTACCTTGAGTCTTCCCTGCATATAAAAACGGGTTTGGAGGGAAAGGAGCGGTATGTCCAGCAGTTTAGTTTGGATGCATTTTTAGGAACCCTGATAAAAGATTCTGAGAGTTTGAATTACTAGAAAGGACCTGATGCCAGTTCACTTGTCACTTCTCATCTCTTCCAACACAAATGGCTTCCTTTGCTACCTCTTTCTGGCCATATCACCAGTTTAATTCCTTCCCTTTCCCTGATCAGCCAAAAACAAAAACCCAAAGGCAACCCTAAGAATTTTTTAGAGACATAATCTGACCCTTTTGCAATTAGAGTTGTCATAGAGGTAGATCTTGAAGCCTTGTTGAAGTGTCTTTGAGTGCCTGAGTTCACCCCTTCATGGATCAGGGACTCTGGGACTGACGGAAATTTAGCCACCCTTCAGAGCTACTCTGTTAATTTGGATAGAGGAAGGATGCTTTTATCATAACTGAAAACCTGTGTCCAGTGTCAAGGACACTGCCTTCTGTGAGAGGCATGATTAATAATCAGAAGGTTCCTCACTGAAGATGAATACAGAATGAAGGAGAATGAGAGTTGATTGGCCTGCCTCTTTCCCATGGTGGAGTTAAGTCTCTCAAGACAGGAATACTCATCTGCCGGTAATTTTCCCCTTGAATGCAGCCAAATAAATGCTGACAAGTTCTTAGATCTTTCTAGCTTCTAAACACGTCATCTTTTGTTAGCACATGTATTTGTCAAATTATAATACAATAGATTTGGTTATGGTTTCATAACCATATTTTCATCAGGCAGGCTTTGAAACTAATCATCTTGGTTTGTTTGGGGACTCCAGACTGTCTCATGTGCATTTTCAGCCCATCCCAAGATTAGTTGGCTTCTGTGGATCCCTGTGTATTAGCCTAAAAATGAGGGTTCATCAGTGGATAAGTTCTGGTATAAAATACCTTCTCTGTTATGTGCCAACCTTCCCACTGGCCTGGGAAAGGGTGTCCATCTCCAGTAGTGTGTTGATTTGATTTTTCTCTGGAAGACCTGGTTTTCAAAAGAGATGCGATGAATATCCCCACTGTGTGAGGGTGGACTTCTCCCAAAGACCAGGAGCAGGGTCAATTGAGGGGTGGGGGAAGGGAGGAGGAAATATTTCTAAATACCCTCAGGAAACAATGGTGGTTATTATAAGGATAATGAATGATTGCATCAATTGAAGGATCATTTTGGGGGCAGGGCTTGGGGTCTAGTGCTTGATTTGGGGTGCTTCTCAGAACCTGACAACATAGCTTTATAATACCCTTTCTGTATCACACCCTTACTCTTTTTTTTCCCCTAAGATTTATTTATTTATTATTTTTTTTATTTTAAAGATTTTTGTTTATTTGACAGAGAGAGACATAGCGAGAGAGGGAACACAAGCAGGGGGAGTGGGAGAGGGAGAAGCAGGCTCCCCGATGAGCAGGGATCCCGATGCGGGGCTCGATCCCAGGACCCTGGGATCATGACCTGAGCCGAAGGCAGACGCTTAACGACTGAGCCACCCAGGCTCTCCCTCACACCCTTACTCTTCACAATACCTTGAATATGGAAAAATAATTCTCATGAGATTGGAGACCTCATTACAAATGTATAAAATTATTGCTCTGCTTGCACTTTCATTTGCAGCTTAGTAAGCAAGTTTGCATTGACCAGGACTAGTGGCCAAAATAAATAAATAAAAACCTTCCGTTCACGTTTCCAAAATATTCTAAATCAGGAGTATGAATTTGTCGATTTTTTCATCATAATAACTTTTTTACCTAATTCATAGTGGAGGTGGTTGATAAGGCAGGAAAGAAGGCTATAATTTATTTGCTAAGTGTTGCATTAATACAGTGTGGGTTTCAGGACTAAAAAGAAGGGAACAGTGAGTGTGTGTGCCATTGAAAGGCTATCATAGGTATTTAATGAAGGTAGATGTTCTAGAAAGAGCTTAAGTTGGAAGAAAAGTAGAGGTTTGAGATTGCTGTCAAACTTTTTTCCCATCTGCTCTGTTTAGTCCACCCCTGCCCCCCCCCCTTTAAGGTTCTTGAAGATATGAAATGATGTCTTCACCCAAGCCTGTAGGAATTCTGCTTGTGCAGGACAGCTCCCTGAATATAGGTGCTGCTAGACTTTCACTAGGGAACTTCTCTTTGCTCAAGGGACTTCCTTTGATTGGGTCATCTGCTTAACTGTGTTTCCTTTTATTCCCATTCAGATGAGTAATTTGCAAATCAAGGAGGAAAAAGTCAAACCAGATACCAATGGTGAGTCACTTGTAACTACTAGCTGGATACAAGCTATGCATGTGCTCTTCTGCTTTGCCTTAGGAGCTCCCGTGTGAAAAGGCACTTTGATTTAGCATAATGTTTGTCTCAAATACAGCACTGTATTTGAGAGCCAGTAAATTTGGTTGCATTACTGAAAAGGACACATTAGTTTTCCAGATTTTATCTAGTCTCTGACTCCTGCCACTGTTCATTTGATAGTGTTTCTTTAAATTTTTTATTTAATTTTTTGAGAAGTTACTCTGGGTTCAAAACTCAAAGTATAAACAGGTGAAAGGCTTCCTTTTTGTCCCGGATTGTCATTTAGCCAGTTCTTAACTCTTTATTAGTTTGCTAGGGCTGCCATGCCAGGTCACAAACTGAGTGGTTTAAGCAGTCAAAGTTTATTGTCTTGTAGTTCTTGAGGCCAGAAGTCTGAGATCAAGGTGTCAGTAGGGTTGGTTCCTTCTGAAGGTTTCAGAACTTACGTTCAAGTCTTTAATCCATTTTGAGTTAATTTTTGTGTGAGGTTAAGATAGTGGTTCAGTTCTGTTCTTTTACATACAGCTGTCCATTTTTCCCAACACCATTTACTGAAGAGACTGCCCTTTCTCTGTTGTGTATTCTTGGCTCCTTTGTCATAAATTAGTTGACCATATATGCATGGGTTTATTTCTGGGTTCTCTGCTCTGTTCCATTGGTCAATGTGTCTGTTGTTATGCAAGTACCATACTGTTTTAATTATATAGCTTTGTAATATAGTTTGAAATCAGGGAGCATGATGCCTCCAGCTTTGTTTTACTTTCTCAAGATTGCTTTGGTGGGTGGGGATTGCTTTGGTTTTTCAGGATTTTTGTGGTTCCATACAAATTTTTAAGTTGTTCTATTTCTGTGAAGAATGCCATTGGAATTTTGATAGGGCTTGCATTGAGTCTGTGTATTGCTTTTGATATATAGACATTTTAACAGTATTCTTCCAATCCAGGAGTAAGGAAAATATTCCTATTTATTTGTTTCTTCAGTTTCTTTCATTAGTGTCTTACAGTGTTTAGTATAAAGGTCTTTCACCTCCTTGGTTAAATCAATTCCTAGGGGGCACCTGGGTGGCTCAGTTGGTTGAGCGACTGCCTTCGGCTCGGGTCATGGTCCCGGAGTCCTGGGATCGAGTCCCACATCGGGCTCCCGGCTCAGCGGGGAGCCTGCTTCTCTCTCTGACCCTCTCCCCTCTCATGCTGTTTCTCTCTCTCTCTCTCTCAAATAAATAAATAAAATCTTAAAAAAAAAATTAATTCCTAGGTATTTAATTATTTTTAACCCAATTGTAAATGGAATTGTTTTCTTAATTTCTCTTTCCAATAGTTCATTATTAGTGTATAGAAACACACCAGATTTTTGTGTTTTTGATTTTTGTATCCTGAAACTTTACTAAATTCATTTGATTGGTTCTAACACTATTTTGATGGCATCTTTAGGCTTTTTATTTTATTTATTTATTTATTTTTAAAGATTTTATTTATTTATTTGACAGAGACAGAGTGAGAGAAGGAACACAAGCAGGGGGAGTGAGAGAAGGGGAAGCAGGCTTCCCGCCGAGCAGGGAGCCCGATGCGGGGCTCGATGCGGGGCTTGATGTGGGGCTCAATCCCAGGACCCTGGGACCATGACCTGAGCCGAAGGCAGACGCTTAACGACTGAGCCACCCAGGCGCCCCTAGGCTTTTTATATATAATACCATGTCATCTGGAAATATTGACAGTTTTACTTCTTCCTTTCCAGTTTGGATGCCTTTTGTATCCATTTACATTTAATATAAATGGTGGGTTAAAATTGATATGGTGGGTTTAGTTAAGCACTTTTACTATTTGATTTGTTTGTCTCTCATAGTTTCTCTACCTCTTTTCCTGCCTTTTGGGTTAATTGAATATATTAGAATTCCACTTTAATTTATCTGTTGGCATTTTAGCTATACTTTTTGCATTATTTTATGAATGTTTTAAAGATTTCTCCATATAGGGGTGCCTGGGTGGCTCAGTTGGTTAAGTGTCTGCCTTCGGCTCAGGTCATGATCCCAGGGTCCTGGGATCGAGCCCCACATCGGGCTCCCTGCTCCTCAGAGAGCCTGCTTCTCCCTCTCCCTCTGCCTGCTGCTCCCCCTGCTTGTGCGCTCACTCTCTGTCAAATAAATAAATAAAATCTTAAAAAAAAAAAAGATTTCTCTATATAAGTCTTGCATATTTTTTGTTAACTTCATTAATCTGGGTACAGGATTTCATCTTTTAGGTTGCTATTTTAAGTAGTATCTTTTCAGTTATATTTCTGTATTTGTGAAAGCTACTGATTTCTACTTACTTATTTTGTACCTAGCATTTTTATCTTTTGCTGAGATACGTTATTTTCTAGTCATTTTTAAGTTAATACTTAGTTCTGTAGGCTTATAATCCTGTAATCCACAAAAAGTGATCATTTTACCTCTTCCTTTTAATTTTTAATATTTTTATTTTCTTCTCATGTCTGATTGTGTTTGCTAAAATAATAGTATATTTTCGGGCGCCTGGGTGGCTCAGTCGTTAAGCGTCTGCCTTCGGCTCAGGTCATGGTCCCAGGGTCCTGGGATCGAGTCCCACATCAGGCTCCCTGCTCGGTGGGAAGCCTGCTTCTCCCTCTCCCACTCCCCCTCCTTGTGTTCCTGCTCTCGCTATCTCTCTCTCTGTCAAATAAATAAATAAAATCTTTAAAAAATAAAAATAAAAAAATAATAATAAAATAATAGTATATTTTCAAGTAGGATAAGCAAGTTAGAGGTGACTTTTTCTGAGCCCTGTGAAGTTAGCCAACATATCTAGAAAGTTGAAATTTTCTTATGTGCTTTCTAGGAATAAAAACCCATTAAATATAAAGAAATGCCAAATACTTATATTTTCATCACTTACCTGAGATTTAGTATTTCTGTTGTCACACCTTTTGGGTGGGTTTGAAATTTGCCTTTCGTATGATGACACCTGTTTTCTTGTGTAGGTGTTATTAAAACCAATGCCACTGCAGAGAAAACAGAAGACGAAGAGAAAGGTAATTACTTTTTAAAACTCTGTAGCAAGAAACAGCGTATGACCCAGGATTTGCCTTTCTGGAGCCCGAGGCACTAGATTGAAGAGATGAGGAGGAATCACAAAGGAGATTGAGAAATAGAGAACTAAAGGAGAGGGGTATCCAGAAACCAGAAGAAGGAAGTGTTTCAAAAGTAGGTAGTCAAATATAGGTAATAAATTGATTAAGAAGATATAAAAATGGACTGTTCACTTGATTTAGCAGTGTAGAAGCCATTGGTGTGCTCAACAAGGGCCTTTGAGGTCAAGTGCAGAGGCTAAATACAAGAACCTATTCAGTGTATATTCAGCAGAAGGGGAGGACAGGAAGTGGGGACAATGAGTGTAGACAGCCTTTTCAGGGACTGTCCTATAAAGGGGAATAGAGAAATGGGGCAGCAACTGGATGGGGGATAAAGGAGGAAGCGGGTTTATAATGAGATGTTAAAATGTGTGCACATGCGACGGGGGAGTGTTCCAGTGTAGGGGGAAACTGATAATGCAAGGAGTTAGTGTGGGGAGAAATATCCTTATAGGCAAGAGGGGCGGGGACCTGTTGTACCAATGCAGGGATTAGCCTTGAGCACAGGCTGTTCATCCCAGGTTACCGGAGGGAACGTAGAGAGTCTGCGCACAAATGCAGGTGGGTGTGTAGGTGTGTCACCGCAGTGTGTGGAGGTGCCTCTGATCACTTGTACTTCTCTGTGAAGGAAGACGCATGTTCATCAGATCAGTGAGAATGTGGAGGGCTGAGAAGAGAGGTGGAGGTGGAGGTGGAGATCTGAGAAGAGTGAATGAGTGGAGAATAGAAACATGAAGACTTACAGGGCAGGGCAGCCCATTTGAGTCTAGTGGTCAAGAATCTGAAGTGAGACCTGTCGGTGTGATTGTTTTTCTCCAGCCATGCTCGGCTGCCCTGGTGCTGGTACAGAGCCAGGGAGAAAGAGATTTCACGAGGGTGGGTTTGCCAAATGAGTATGAAGACAACCTGCTGGTTTCTTCCTGACAGAGGACAGAGCTGCCCAGTCCTTACTCAACAAGCTGATCAGAAGCAACCTTGTGGATAACACAAACCAAGTGGAAGTCCTGCAGCGGGACCCAAACTCCCCGCTCTACTCAGTGAAGTCCTTTGAGGAGCTTCGGCTGTGAGTGTCTGTTCCCTGAACAGCTGTTCCTTGTTGGTCCCGCCTTTCTAAAACTTAGCATCTCAGAGCTCTTTTGGGAGTTTTACTTTCTATCTGTATTTTTAAGAATTTTAATGTATTTGCTTCTTTGACTAGTTAATAATTCACATGATTCGAAAGTGAGAAAGTATGGAAAAGTTTACGGTGATGGTTTCCCTCCCACCCTTGTCTTTTGGCTACCCAGTTCTCCTCCTCTTGGGAGGGATTTTTAAATGCCACAAATTTATTCATCATAGCTGAAAGTCTTTTTTCTTTTATGCTCTTAGAACTTTCAATAAAATATTGGCTGACAGGTGATTTCTGGATGTCAGGAACATTTCTTATTAGGTAAGCCCTTTTGTTAGACTACAGGGTTTACGGTCTTGAGAACACTTTATCTGCTTTTACATAATCGATCAAAAGAGTCTGTGCAGGATTCCCAGTACCTACAGCAGAAAGCAGCCTTCAATATTCTGGAATTAAAAAAAAAAAAAAATTCAGAACCTGGAATTAAGCCACAAGGGAGCACATTTACGGCACTGTGCTAAGAATGACTTCTAACATCTCTTTATTTTAAAGGCAGAATTACGGAAGGTCATACCAAGTTTTTTGTTTCCCTCAGCATATTTAGTAAAGAAGTGTTTATGAATCCCTGGTTTATGTAAATGCTACTGTGCTGGGTGTCATGAGTAACATAAGACATAACTACCGTTCTTGCTGCCTGCCAGGACCGGAATCATAGAAATTAGCTGGTGAATAAGAAAGTGGTGGAATTAATAGATTCTTTGCCTTATCAGTAAAATCTTTAGTATGCCCACTGTGGGCAAACAGGCGCTACATTCTTGCCAACTTATTACCACTGCTTTAGAGTAAGAGACATTTAAAATATGAGAGCTAACTAAAACCAAATCAAGTCATTAATGAAGTGATAGCTAAGAACAAGTTTTTTAAAGCACGGCTTTTTTTTTAATGTTCTCAGGAAATTATATTTTTCTATGTGTATTTCCTCTATCAGGGGCTTCATTCAGTGAATCTGTCATCTCTGCTTCTGTTTATAAACTATATCAGGGCAGTGAGATGTGCTCTTTTGTTTCCTGAAGTGACAGTTTGCTTTTCCAAGTATTGATGGTTTTTAAACCCCTTTTCATTTAAAGGCCTTGAGCTCTCAGTCCAACCAGTGAGGAACTGTCCTCTCTGAAAAGTCAAGTTCTCTCTGATATAGTAGTCGTTGGCTAGAGGAAACAAAGAATGAAATCTAAGTTGCCTTGGTTTGTTTTGTACTTAAAATTTTTGAGTTTATCTGCAAAATAAGAGAAAAATAGTGAACCACTGGAAGCTCTTGGATCATTTGGATCTTCATTCAGTTGTGACTTTGTTTCCTTAGCAATCAAATCAAAATCTGCTGAGCTTCATAGCCTTTTCTTCCAAACAGAAGACACCAAAGGTTATGCTTTCAGAGGTCTTTGTATCTGAGAACCAACATATGCCAGAAGAATTTGCCACTTAGAGAGCCTGTTTACTCCAAGGAAGGTTCAGAGAACAGAAGTCTTGACTTGGTTTGACTCTTCTTTACAATCTGGTGGGATTTTTGTTGAACACCCTGTCAATGTGGAGGTAGCAGGGAGCTTATTGTAAATGCGATGGAAGAACAACTTTAGTTGATATTTGTTGTGCAGCTACTTACATAAGCTGGTGCTTTCCTGTTCTTGATTTTTGACTAGACATAATAAATAATATGAGCATTTGGAAAGTTCAGCATGGTATTTGAACACTCCTACCTATTTACTGTAAATCAGGTACTAGAAACTGGTTGAATCAATTTTCTTATTTCTTGACTGTCCTGAGTATTTGCACAGCTGGCTTTGGAAGGACCATGGAATACAAAATGACTGTGGTTCAATTTAACATCTACCCCAAGAAATTAAAACTGAATCTCGTTCCTTAAAGGGACTTCAGTATCTCAGTGGTGTAGTAAGCAGTATATTTTTAGATATGCCTTTTATAATTCATTTTATGCAAATTATAAAATTTATATGAATTAATACATACCATTCTTGCGATATCCAGGGAACATTGTCCTTCAAGGCCAGTCATATTTGTGGGTCTGCTGAAAGCATGAATTTTTCCAGGAATGGAAACTAGTCTGTATTTTCGGAATTGCACAACAGTTGCAGATTAAGGGGCACCTGGGTGGCTCAGTCAGTTAAGCGTCTGCCATCGGCTCAGGTCATGATACCAGGGTTCTGGGATCGAGCCCTGCATCAGGCTCTCTGCTCAGCAGGGAGTCTGCTTCTCCCTCTCCTTCTGCTGCTCCCCCTGTTTATGCTGTCAAATATAAATAAAATCTTTAAAAAAAAAAAAAAGAGTTGCAGATTAAGATTCAGTAGGGAAAGATGGTGGCTTGGTTTCATTTTAGATATTTTTTAAGGCATTAGAAAAATATGTCTGACAAAGATAGGAAGCTTTATACTGCGCTAGATTTAGGGAAGGATAAAATTCTAGGCTTTTAAAACAACTTGAACAACTAGGAATCCATCCTCTCTCTCCCTGGACTTCTAGGAAACCACAGCTTCTCCAGGGAGTCTATGCCATGGGCTTCAATCGACCATCCAAGATACAAGAGAACGCATTACCCATGATGCTTGCTGAGCCGTGAGTATGCAGACCTCAAGTGTAGTTCTTCAGGATTTGGTTTAATGTTTTACACCAATAACTGTTACTGTTCTTGAGAACAAGATGGGATGTTTGGGACAGCATGTTTCTTCAGGAAAACCACTTGAGCAAGTGCAGAGAGAGTCAGTTGGAATTTGGTACAGCATCTCCCTTTCCCACTTAACCATAAAAACTGATGGGGCACCTGGGTGGCTCAGTCAGTTGAGCGTCCAACTCTTGGTTTCAGCTCAGATTATGATCTCAGCTCATGATCTCAGAGTTGTGAGATCGAGCTCCACATAGGGCTCCACACTTAGCACGGAGTCTGCTTGAGATTCTCTCCCTTTCCCTCTCCTTCCCCCTCTGCTCCACTCCCCACTCACACGCCCACTTGCATGCACATGCTCTCTTTCTCTCTGTCCCAAATAAATAAATAAAATCTTTTTAAAAATTAAAAAAAAATTTAGAAACCTGATAGAGAAGAGGGCACCTGGCTAGCTCAGTTGGTAGAGCATGTGACTGTTGATGTTGGGGTTGTGGGTTCAAGCTCCATATTGGGTGTAGAAATTGCTTTAAAAAATAAATAAAAATCTTTAAAACAGAGTTCATTTCTATTCTTCCTTGATCTAGCCCACAGAACCTGATTGCCCAGTCTCAGTCAGTTAAGCGTCTGCCTTCGGCTCAGGTCATGATCCCAGGGTCCTGGGATGGAGCCCTGCATCGGGCTCCCGCCTGCTTCTCCCTCTGCCCCAGATCATGTGTGTGCACTCTCTCTCCCTCTCTCTCTCAAATAAATAAAATCTTTTTAAAAAATCTTTAAAACGAAACTGATAGAGAAAGCTAATGTTGTTATTCTGTGCAATTTTGAAAATCGGGTTTTTTTTAAAAACTTTATTTGAGAGTGCATATGAGTTTTACACCAGAGGAGGAGAGAAACTCTAGCCGACTCCTAAACTGTAGATAATTGGCATCCTACTTTATGTAGTAACCTTTTCCATTCAACTCTTTTTCTTATTTAATGACAAAAATTGAGGTGCCTGGGTGGCTCAGTCGGTTAAGCATCTGCATTCAGCTCAGGTCATAATCCCGGGGTCCTAGGATCGAGCCCCGCATCGGGCTCCTTGCTCTGCGGGGAGCCCGCTTCTCCCTCTCCTCCCCACTTGTACTCTCTCACTGTCTCTCCTCTCTCGCTCAAAAAAATAAAACCTTAAAAAAAAAATGACAAAAATTGTACCTATTTCCCTGACTAGGTTATGTGAAGTAAAATGTGAAAGTTCCCTCTAAAGCATCTGTTTGACTTGGTGTCTTGCATTTTCATAAAGAAGGGAAAGGGAACACACAGAGGGAGCCAAGTCTTGGAGACACATTATAGCTTTGCAGAAAATGTCTTCGGGGATTTGCTTTGGCACAGATTTAACTCTGCAGTGTTAATTTCCATGGGGCCCCTAGGGTACAAAATTAGGACACTCTACCTGTGCTGGAGTCTAGAGTGAAGATTTCTTGGTGTGAACCCATCTAAATCACTATGTCCCTTAATATTTAAGCAGTTTTTTGACAACATAAAAAAATTTATCATTGTGCTCAGTGCAGAAAACCTGGATTAAAGGGAGAAAGCTCCGTATGCCTACCACCCAGAAAGAACTTTTTGACACTGTATTGTTTATTAACCAATATTATTTTCATTTCTATTCTTCCTTGATCTAGCCCACAGAACCTGATTGCCCAGTCTCAGTCAGGTACTGGTAAAACAGCTGCCTTCGTCCTGGCCATGCTCAGCCGAGTGGAACCAGCAGAGAGATACCCCCAGGTGAGGGCTAGGGGATCCTGAGGGCCCTGGCTTGCCTGCCCTGGTAAAGGCAGTGCCATCTGGTGGGCGGTTAATGAGGGTGCCCCTGAAGGGGTCTGAATGTTTCCTGTGGCTCAGGCAGAGCACTGAGCACTAGGCCACAATCTGGGTAGAATTCATTCGGAAGCAGAGGTCTTAAACAGTGGCTTCCAAAGGCATCCACCCAGCCAGGGCTCGCTGCTAAAGGCAACCTGGTTGGAGAGGATGTGGCTCCCTGCACTTTTGAGTGGTGATTAGATCAGCATATTGTTGCTTTAGGGCCTGTTGTCTAGTAATAGACAGAGGCTCTCCTAAACTCAACCTTTATGATCTCCCTGTCAGTGTTTGTGCCTCTCCCCAACATATGAGCTGGCTCTTCAAACGGGAAAAGTGATTGAGCAGATGGGCAAATTTCATCCAGAACTAAAGCTTGCTTATGCTGTTCGAGGCAATAAATGTAAGTATAAAGGGGTGAGACCTAAGCAGTGAGCAGGATAGGGTGGTTGGGTGTTTGAATTTTGAAGGTGTGATGATATTAAACTTTCTGGTTCAGTTGACCTTAGGGCCTACTGCATTACTTTCAGCAAATCTGTTTTAAACTTGCTATTTAACAGTCGTTTGTACTCTTAAAAGAGATTTTGAGTTGTAAAAATCTTTGTATGGGTCATGGATTTCTTAAAGTCTGGCATTCTTCACTGAGAAAACAGGATTTTGAATTCAGCGTGCAGAGTTCTGGAAGCTGCTTATTCCTAACAAGGGATTAGTAGGTGTGAGGATGGTAGGTTGGAGTCATATCCCTTTGTTTAAAAACAAGCACAGCTTTAGTAAGAGTAAACTAGGAGCACATACACATAACTTGGTGTTATCAAAACCAGAAATCCTTCCACCAGTTTTTTCTCCCTTGTGTTCTACAGAATGTAATGTAGAGAACATGGACTAAAGTGGAGAGGGGGGGCAGCTAGAAAACAGTTCATTAGAAAAGTTATCACAGTGTATAAAACTACAAGTCAGTAAGGAAAAAGTAAGCAGTCTAAATAGGAAAAGAGGCCCAGTTGAACAGACACTTCACAAAAGAAGGGATTCAGATGTCCAGTAAATATGAAGAGATGATAAATAAGCCTCATTTGTCATCAGAGAAATCTAAGTTAAAACCACTATATGCCTCTCAGGTGGACAGAAATGATGAAGTCTGATAATATTAAGTATTGATGGAGACGTCCAAGGATGAATGCCCATACACTCCTGGTGGGGGGTATACACTGGTACAGTTACTTTCTGGAAGCAGTTTGGCATTCCTTAGAAAAAGTACAGACAGACCTTCCTTTGACCCAGCAGTTTATAATTGCCTGGGGCAGTGATTCTCAAACTTTTTGGTTTCTTATACTCTTAAACATTACTGAGGACTCCAAAGCATTTTTGTTTATACAGGTTTTATCTGTTGATATTTGCCATATTAGAAGCTAAAATTAAGAAATTTTTAAAGAGCTTACTTTTGAAGAATATGAAGACAATCTGGCCTTTCAAATAATTTTTTTTTAAAGATTTTATTTATTTATTTGAGAGAGAGAGAGAGAAACAGCATGAGAGGGGAGAGGGTCAGAGGGAGAAGCAGACTCCCTGCTGAGCCGGGAGCCCGATGTGGGACTTGATCCCAGGATTCCAGGATCATGACCTGAGCCGAAGGCAGTCGCTTAACCAACTGAGCCACCCAGGCACCCCTCAAATAATTTTAGATACCCTTTTTGGAGGCTACACCGAAACTTACCAAGTGGTAATTACTTAAGAGTTAGTTCCAGCCTGGAAACTGAAATCCTGTTACTGAATTTTTCGTACTGTTACATTAAAATACCTTGGTCTCTTGGAAAGTACTGTCTTACTGAGTTACACAGTTCTAAATGTTGAGACATCTTATCATACAAACTTTTTAAATTGCTTGCCCTAATATTACCACCAAACTCATCAGTTTATGGTACTTTATGTACCTCAAGTACAGAGGTACTTTATGTACCTCAAGAAACTCAAACTTAGTGGCACATACAAGTCTTCCAAAATGCTAATTTTCTCTTGAAAGCTTAAATGGTATTGTGGCAGCAAATACAGTGGATTGTTTTCACTGAAGAGACAGCCTGTTCATTTTCAAGAAAGTGGATATCAAATTCCTCGCTTCGTTTTCTATAGTTTGTCAGTCCACAGAGAGAAATGGCTAGTTCAGCTCACCACATGATCACAGAGCTTTTCCTGGAGAAAACCATCATGCTTTGGCATGCAGCAAAACTACCTTACCCAAAAGTTATTAGGTTGATTATGTAATTTGTGTGTTTATTTGATGCCTCACACTGGTGGGTACATCTAAGTGAAGTTACCAGAATCTTGTAACAACATATATCTTCTCTAGATTGTTTTGTAATAAATGGGACTTCACTGTGTGTGAAGGGTTAATATATATATATATATATTTTTTTTTTTTTTTTTTTTAAGATTTTATTTATTTATTTGACAGAGAAAGACACAGTGAGAGAGGGAACACAAACGGGGAGTGGGAGAGGGAGAAGCAGGCTTCCCGCCGAGCAGGGAGCCTGATGTGGGGCTCCATCCCAGGACCCTGGGATCATGACCTGAGCTGAAGTCTCACTGGCTGAAGCCAACTGAGCCACCCAGGCGCCCAAGGGTTAATAGATTAACTGTACTTACTTTTTACACTTATTTCTTAAAAGTTCAGTTTGGACTTACGGGCAGTGGAAGTTGAGAACTACAGTGTGTTTGAGTTAATTCACAATTTTTCCAGTGGGTAGTTGATGAATTTCTAACGAAAGACCCTTCTTCTCAAATTTTAAATTTTGTTTTTAAAATAGTTAACACATTCGCATGTTTAAATTGAAAGGCCATGTGGTAGAAACTTCTTTCTCCCATACCCCCAACCAACTAGTTCTCCTTCCTACAGGCCCTCAGTACTAACCAGTTTCTCATGTGGCACACCAGAGATATTCTGTGTGGCTCCAGGCACACAGTATGTATAAATATGTTAACATGTGTACACTCACACATGGACATGTGTTACATGTATTCTTTTTTGCCTCTTTTGGTATGCAAACTGCTTTGCAACTTTTTTTCACATTTAATAATGTATTTTGGAGATTGTTCCATATCAGTTCCTAAGCAGTTTTTTACTTTTACTGGCATCATCCATTTGGTGTATCATATTTTGCTTCATTATTACCTTTTGATGCTTGCATATCCTTGCATATGTGTTACTTCACGTGTGTTAATATACACACAGGGTTAATTCTTAATCATGGAGTATTGGTCACAGGCTGTGTGCATTAGTAATTTTGATAGACGGTTGTGCCAGTTTCAGCTCCCACCAGCTATAATTCGAGAGTAACATGTTTTTTAAACCAGAGAATTTGTACTTAGAAAAACTCTACACATTAGAATGTCTAACAAAGCAAAAACTCATTGGGCCAGGATCCTGGGACTCAAAACTACAATTGAAGAAAAATCTGTGAACCGTGAGTGAATGTATGATGTGAAGTGAGTAAGAATGGCACTGAGGAGAATGAGTGAGATGCTGTTGAATCACAGGAGGAAGCGGGAAGGGGACTTGGTGCTTATTGAGGGTTCACTTCAGAGGATTGAATCCTGACCACGATGCAGTGAGATGGGTGCCATTGTGCCTACTTTACAGTAGAAGAACCCAAGACTTTTGGATAACACTCCTGTGTGTATGTTTTGACATCTGGAATTAACATGTTTTACAAACCCTGGAAGGATGGGCAAGGCTTTGATTTCCAAAGCTGGTTTTGCCATGGAAATACCCACAGAAAACATCTTGTCTCCACAGTGGAAAGAGGTCAGAAGATCAGTGAGCACATTGTCATTGGCACCCCTGGGACTGTTCTGGACTGGTGCGCCAAGCTCAAGTTCATTGACCCCAAGAAGATCAAGGTGTTTGTTCTGGATGAGGCCGACGTGATGATAGCTACTCAGGGGCACCAAGATCAGAGCATCCGCATCCAGAGGTAGGAACTCTTGAGCCAAGAGGAACTTCTCAGCCTCCTGATCTGCAGCATCTTCTCCTTTTACTTCAAACACTTCTTCTTGCTCCCGTCAGGTTCTTTACTTTAGTACTTCCAGAAGCATTTGTTCGATGGGCCATTTCCTCATCAGCACTGACCGTGGGTTGAGGAAGGAGACTTAGGGAATCTAACACCAGCCCCATTCCTGCCCCATGGCTGCTCTCACCTCCTCCCTGCTGTTCTCCTCCCCCTTTTGCCACTTTCCTCGGCATGTAGACCATGCAAGCCGGGGCGGCTTTCTTCTGTTCCTTCCAGGGAAAGACTCGGGATCATGCCACATACTACCTGGGTCTTCCCTTGCAGGATGCTGCCCCGGAACTGCCAGATGCTGCTTTTCTCTGCCACCTTCGAAGACTCCGTATGGAAGTTTGCCCAGAAAGTGGTCCCAGACCCAAACATTATCAAACTGAAGCGCGAGGAGGAGACATTGGACACCATCAAGCAGTATTACGTCCTGTGCAATAACAGAGATGAGAAGTTCCAGGCCTTGTGTAACCTCTACGGGGCCATCACCATTGCTCAGGCCATGATCTTCTGCCATGTGAGTAGCAGTGGAGGCGGTAGGCCTGCCTGGGGAGGAGCTGCACTGGAGGGGGTGCCTGCCCCTCCTCTCAGCCTGCTCGTCAGTGGTGAGGAGGACCAGGTGCCGTGTGTGGCCAGAAAGGAATGGTTTGTGAAGATGCAACAAAGTTTCATCTTAGTATCCTGAGGTGTAAGTGGCTTCAAGATTGAGTCCCTAGGGGTGCCTGGCCGGCTTAGTAGAGCATGCACGTCGTGATCTTGGGGTCGTAAGTTTAAGCCCCACATTTCATCTAGGGCTTAAAAAAAAAAATAGGGGCGCCTGGGTGGTTCAGTCGGTTAAGCGACTGCCTTCGGCTCAGGTCATGATCCCAGGCTCCTGGGATCGAGCCCCACATCGGGCTTCCTGCTCCTTGGGAGCCTGTTTCTCCCTCTCCCTGTACTGTTCCCCCTGCCTGTGCTCTATCACTCTCTGTCAAATAAATAAATAAAATCTTGGAAAAAAAAAAGAAAAAGAAAAACTGATATATTACAAAAAAAAAAAAAAACAGAGCCCCTATTATTTGTAGGTGATACGTTATTAGAAAACCCGAGATAATCAACTGACGTTTGTAGGAAAAATAAGAAACTAAACAAGACAGCTGGTTACAAAATTAATATAAGTTGTTTTCCAGTCTCAAACAGCAAATACTTAAAAAATAGAAGGTTAGTAACTGATCATTTGTTCACTTATTTATTTTTTTTTTTTAAGATTTTATTTATTTATTCATGAGAGACAGAAACAGAGGGAGAAGCAGGCTCCCAAGGAGCGGGAAGCCCGATGCGGGACTCGATCCCAGGACCCTGGGATCATGACCTGAGCCGAAGGCAGACGCTTAACCATCTGAGCCACCCAGGCGCCCCTTGTTCACTTACTTATAATTCAAGAATGTGAAGTGAGAATGCACAAACAGATCAGTCCCTGTACTTTTTATTCTGCATACAATAACATAGTAAATTAACAGTAAAAAACTTACTGTGTTTGTGCCAAAAAAAACAAAAAACAAAAAGGAAGGCTAGGTTTCCATTGATAATAGCAAAAAAAAGTTAGGGATAAATATTTAAGATACTTGAACACTTCAGAAATGTTAAGGGATACTAGAATGAGACAATTCTTACTCTATTATTGGAAGACTTGTAATTCAAAACTTTTTTAGAGTGTCATCCTCAGACTCAAAATTACAAACCTCCAGAAAAGATGAAAAAAAGAAAATGAACACTTTTATGCCTTTCACCTATTGTTAACATTTTGCCAGTTTGCTTTTATCCATGTGCTTGTGTGTGTGACATATCCATACTTTTTGGTTTTGGTGAAGTATTTTTTTTTAAAGATTTTATTTATTTATTTGACAGAGCGAGAGAGCACAAGCAGGGGGAACAGTAGAGGGAGAGGGAGAAGCAGGCTCCCTGCCAAGCAGGGAGCCCGATGCGGGGCTTGATCCCAGGACCCTAAGATCATGACCCGAGCCAAAGGCAGATGCTTAACCATCTGAGCCACCCAGGCGCCCTTGATGAAGTATTTTAGTTAGTTGTAGACATCAGGACAGTTCACACCTAAGTACTTCCCAAGAATGAGACGTGCTCCTACAGAAGCCCAACGCCACTGTCATTCCTTTAACAGTGACATAATAATATTATCCCGTCTAGTCCATCCATATTCCATTTTCCCCACTTGTACCAAAAATGTTCTTTATTGCTTCTGCCTGGTGTTGTTAAGCCTAAGAGCCAGTCAGAGATTGTTGCACTTAGTTGTTATGTCTCTCGAGACTCCTTTAACCTGAACCAGTTTCCCCACCTTTCATGACACAAACATCTTGAAGAGTCCAAGCTAGTACGCAGTCTTGAGAATTTCTCTCATTTCTCCCCCTCATGATTATATTCAGGTTAAATATTTCTGTGAGATTAATATCCAGGTGACAGGTTATTTCCTGTTACAACATATCACGTTAACAATTTTTTTTTTTTTTAAGATTTTATTTATTTATTTGACACAGAGAGAGACAGCGACAGAGGGAACACAAGCAGGGGGAATGGGAAAGGGAGAAGCAGGCTTCTTGCCGAGCAGGGAGCCTGATGCGGGGCTCGATCCCAGGACCCTGAGATTATGACCTGAGCCGAAGGCAGTCGCTTAACCAACTGAGCCACCCAGGTGCCCCTATCACATTAACAATTTTAGGAATTTTAATCCTCAGCTACTAAGTTTCAGGTAGAGTCTTCCAGATCAAAAATACTCCCTTTAGGGGCGCCTGGGTGACTCGGTTGGGCAACTGCCTTCAGCTCAGGTTATGATCCCGGGGTCCTGGGATTGAGCCCCACATCAGCCTCCTTGCTCCTCGAGGAGCCTGCCTCTCCCTCTCCCTCTGCCTGCTGCTCCCCCTGCTCATGCTCTCTCTCTGTCAAATAAATAAACGTTAAAAAAAAAAAAAAAAATACACTCTTCAGATACCTTCATTTCTCAAATGTTTCCTTCTCTCCAGACCCGCAAAACAGCGAGCTGGCTGGCAGCAGAGCTCTCAAAAGAAGGCCACCAGGTGGCCCTGCTGAGTGGCGAAATGATGGTGGAGCAGAGGGCTGCGGTGATCGAGCGCTTCCGAGAGGGCAAAGAGAAGGTGCTGGTGACCACCAACGTGTGTGCCCGCGGTGAGCAGGGAATGCGTCTGTCCGCCAGGCCCCGGGTCGGCAGGGAAGTCCTCCTATACAGGGCACTCCGCTGGTTTGAGGGAGTCCACGTGGGGTTGGTGCTGGAGAGACTGGATTCCCCCGGCAGATAAGAACTGTCACAGAAGCCAGGGGCCCCGATGCTGGAAGGACACGGGCCAGCATCTCACTGGTTCAGGACAGTGCCTGCTCTCTCTGGGGCCCCCACTGAGGTTCTGGCTGCATCTCCAGGTACTGGTGTCTAGCAGAGGCTCGCTCACTGGCCGTGTAATTTTGTTAGCACCTGCCCAAGTTCTGCTGCGTGCCCCCGTCCCCGAATCCCAGAGCCGGCCTGCCCCAGACTCTTCCTTCCACCTGAAGCTGGGGCATTTCAGCCTCGCTTGGTTGGCGGTGGTTTTCGTCTCCTGTCCTGACTCCTCTCCACCTGTCTTTCGTGCAGGTATTGATGTCGAACAGGTTTCTGTTGTCATCAACTTTGACCTCCCCGTGGACAAGGATGGGAACCCGGACAACGAGACCTACCTGCACCGGATCGGGCGCACGGGCCGCTTTGGCAAGAGGGGCCTGGCAGTGAACATGGTTGACAGCAAGCACAGCATGAACATCCTCAACAGAATCCAGGAGCATTTTAGTGAGTGGCTGGGAGTGGTCCCCGCCAGGGCCCTTCCTTACAGGGGGAGTCCAAAGGAGGGGGAAGGGGGGGGTTCTCCCGTGGCCCCGAGAGAAGCCTGTGTCCCTGGAACAGTCCCCTCCTTTCCTACAGTATGGAAGTCTCAAAGAGCACACCTGGCGAGTTTTCAGGGCCAGGGACTCAAATGACAGTGCCCCCCTGGCCAGGCCGAAGGGCCTAGGGCTGTCCCTCGCTCAGGCACCGGGAGTCTTTGGGGTCAAGGGAAAGATGGCTGTGGCCAGAGGCATGGCCCTGTTCCTAGGCCGGGCAGAACCCTGTGTGTTTCCTCTCTCCCTGCCGTGCTGTCCCTTCCCTAGGTGTGTGTCTCCATGGGAGCCCTGCGTTGATTGCTCTCTGAATTCTCATTTTTCTCCCCAGATAAGAAAATAGAAAGATTGGACACGGATGATTTGGACGAGATTGAGAAGATAGCCAACTGAGACGCTCCACCAGTCGCCAGTGCCCACCCCCGGCATTCCGCCTGCACGGGAGACCGGTGCTTTCACGGCACAGGCCTCGACAGTCACCACAAAGACAAAGGCAGAGGAGAGAGAAACTACCTACCTCATTTTAAATTACGTTTGGACTAGACAAAAATTGTGCAACTGATGGGGGAAGGTAGAAGGAAAATTTTGCATTTCGGAAAATGTAGTCCTCCCCTGCTCCCACCCTTAAGCCATGGGTTTTCCCCATCTTTATAATAATCTGGTCGCTATGGATAATCGCTGAGCCTAGGATCCCCTGCTTGTTTTGTTGCTGGGATGATAGGACCGACCTCCAGCCCCTGCAGAAACGGTCCATGTAGAGTGTGGGAGAGGCTTCACAGCACCAGCGTGTGAGCCCCACTGCACAGATGGAATGTGGGGAGCAGCGGTAGAGACCCTTGGGCTCTCTCCCTTCTCGGGCCCTGACTGGAGACCTGCCACCAATGTCTCTTGCCCTTGGGGCCATCTTCCTTCTCCTAAATCCAGAGATGTTCCAGCTGATCCCTTTTACCTCTGTTCTCTCTGCCAGAGGATGTCCCTGTTTCTCTCTGGGTGAGCATCTTGGGTACTTTTGTAAACCTCAGATTTAGAGAGAAACATGGAAGTCCGTGCATCTTCCAGAGGGATTGGTCTGGCAAGGGTAGATGAATCCTTTGAGAATCTGGGCCTTCCTGTTCCTGCAGTTCTGTGTTTGCTCAGGCACTGGGAGTCAGTCATGGTGGCCAGGAGACACTGGGTGAGTTTCTGACACACACCTGGCCACGTGAGTTGGTTCTTATCCATGGGGTGTCACACTATGCCTGGAGGCAGTCAGCAGAGTTTGGAAAGGAAGTTATGACCAAGTGAAAACTCCGATAGTGCTCTTTATCTGTAATAGTGGACCTGTTGGTTACTTTAATTCAGAGGTCATCTATATGAATAAGGACAGATAAATTTGAGCTATACCCATCATTCATTATGTTCAGAAATTTTAAAGTAATTATGAAAGGCTTTACTAATCATGATTCATTTTTATTTGTATTTTTCTGCTAATTAGACTAATATATGCTCATTAAAAAGGTGTGTGTGTATGTATATATACATATATAAGGTGCAAGTGCTCTCTATCCCCACCTCTCTGGAATCACCATTAGCATTTTGGTGAACACTTGATATATTTCCTTCTGTTTACATACCCACTTTTTTACAAAAACGGTAATATTCTATTCAGGCTTTTGTGCACCCTGCCTCTTTACTTAGCAGCATTATCTTGGACATGTGACATGTCCTGCACACAGGCGCACCTCACTCTTGGCAATGGCATTGCTCTAGCATTAGCTGCCCCAGCATTTAGTTCATGGCCCCTCTAGCGACAGGCGTGGGAGGTGGGCACGGTGCCACAGCGCGCAGCCTCACTCACCTCTGCCCTGTGAAAGTCACTGTAGGATCTATTCCTGGAGGTACAGGTGCTGGGTCAGACAGTGGAGATCTTTATGATTTTAATCCATTCCCAGTTTACCCTGCCAAAAAGTTTTTACCAATTTACATTATTACAGTGACACAAAAATACCTATTTTCTTTCCTGCTTGCCAATCCTCTGTATTATCAATTTTTACAAATTTGCCAGTTTGAGTAGCAAAAAATAAATGGCATCATTGCATTTTGTATTTAGTGAGCATTGGCAAATTTTCAGTTTATTGGATATTTGTATTTTGTCTTTCGGGGTGCTGCCCATTCTTGCCTCATCATTTTACTATTGGATTATCAGTCCTTAATGATTTTAAGCCACCACTATTTTAAGGAAATTAGACTTTATCTTAAGTGGTGGATGTTTTCCTAGTTTGTCTTTACAAATTCATTTTTCATAACATTACACGAAAGTTTAATTTTAATGTTACTCGGATTTCATTTTTAAGAAATCTGGATTTATGTCATGGCTAGAAAAGTATTCCTCATCCCAGTGTCATAAACCCCAATTTATCCTGTACTCATTCCAGTATTATAAAGTAGTTATTCATGTTTCCTGTAGTGGCAATTCTTGGGGAGTAAATTATCTAAATTCTTGTAGATCTTTAAATGTTTTTCCCTGCTTGCTTGCTGCAAGTGATTATTATGGTTGTGTCAAGAGTGAGTGGGTGGCAGAGCTGTGGGTGTGGGCTGGAGGCCATGCCCCCCAGGGAGTGAGAATACAAGGGGTCCATTGGGAATGGAAGTGAGTGAATGAAAGGCTGGGTGTCCCCGCAGGTGTGGCCTGGTGCAAGAGAGTGCCTGCAAGCGTGTGAGGGGTGGATGCAAGCTCAAGGTGGGAGAGGGGTTCGGAGAAGAAAGGTGGGCAAGAAGGGGAGCCAGACTGCAGAGAGATGGGGGACAAGAAGGGGGGAGAAGTACTGAAGGGAGACAGGGCAAGGGGAGGAGATGGAGGAGGCCAGGTGGGGCACCAGCATTCCAGTTCAGTGATACCCACTTTGTCCCCAAAACAACAGTGATACAGGAAAGGTAAAAACCAGAAACACCACCCCGCCTGACCCAAAAACAAGGTGAATGTTTCTGTGGACCAGCTACGGGGTAAAAATGCCAAGTGCTGAGGCAGGGCTGAAGCCAAAAGCTTGCTGGGCTCCGGTCCAGAAACAGAGTAGCTACCGGCTGTTGGGTCCTGTGGAGTAGAGGACACTGGAAGCACCGCATACAAGACCGGAACCAAAGCCAGGTGTGCTGCTGGGAGGGAGCTGGACTGGAACTTGACCTGCACGCTGGCTCGCTGGGAGACTTTTATTAAGACCCAGACCCATGACGGCGGTGGAAGGACTTGGACCACCCACCCCCTCTTAGAACAAGCAGTTGACACAATCCTGTTGACTCTGCTTGTTCTGTGATATCCCCAGATTACCGAATGTCAGCAGACCTGGTTCTAGAATAAAAGTCAAAAGGGCAGGAGCTGGGTGGAGCCAACTGCTAAACCCACCTGTGGATTGTCAGGGGAAAGAAATCTATGCTAAGAAAGAGTGCAAACAAGATCAAATTCACCCCAGATAAAACTACTTTTATGGAATGGCCTGATAAAAGGCTTTAAGTATGTTTGAATGTTTAAAGAAAAAAAATGCATTTCACTAGAAAAGAGCACAAAACTATTGAGTAGATTTAGACAAAAGCAGTGGCGTGCTGAAACTCAACACAAGCTGGCTGTTAAGTCACGGGTGCTGGGAGTGTTTACCACCGAAGTCAGCAAACTACCAATCAGGGTTCTGTTTTTAGACAATTCACCAGCATAAAACAAAACAATAAACATTAGAAATTTTAGAAAAGAGGAAGGCAGTCATTGAGATAAAGTCAAATGGGAATCCTAGATTAAAATCCTAATTAGGGGCACCTGGGTGGTTCAGTTGGTTAAGTGTCTGCCTTTGGCTCAGGTCATGATCCTGGGGTCCTGGGATCAAGCCCTGCGTCGGGCTCTGTGCTCAGTGGGGAGTCTGCTTCTCTCTCTGCTGCTCCCCACTTCGTGCTCTCTTGTTTGCTCTCTCTCTCTGAAATAAATAAAATCTTTTAAAAAATAAAATAAAATCCTAATTACACTCTTAAGGGTGCCTGGCTGGCTCAGTTAGTGGACTACATGACTCTTGGTCTCAGGATCATGAGTTCAAGCCCCATGTTGGGTGTAGAGATTACTTAAATATAAAACCTTAAATAAATCCTAATTATATTCTCATTTTAAAGACAAGAATAAAAACAATCCAAATTTCAGTAGATTCATATAATGAATATTTCTTAGGGCACCTGGGTGGTTCAGTCAGTTGAGCATCCAACTTTTGATCTCAGCTCAGATCTTGATCTCACAGTTGTGAGTTCGAGCCCTGAGTTGGGCTCCACGCTCTTAGTGGAGCTTACTTAAAAACAACAACAACAACAACAACCTATTTCTTGCTTTAAAGTCTAACATGGAAGTCTAAAGGAAGACCACAGGGGTGCCTGAGTTCGAGCCCCATGTTGGATGTAGGGATTACTTAAAACTAAAATCCTTAAAAAATAAATTGGGGCACCTGGGTGACTCCGTCATTTGGGCATCCAGCTCTTGGTTTTGACTCGGGTCATTATCTCAGTGTCCTGGGATGGAGCCCTTCGTCTAGCACCGTATTCCGTCGGGCTCCAGGCTCTGCGGGGAGTCTGAGGATATCTCTTCCTCTCTCTCTCTGCCTCCCTTCTCTTTCAAATAAATAAATAAAAATAAAGACCACAGAGGTAAATTTTCATTTTCATCACATCATACCAAAGGCACATATAATCAACATGACATCAGTCACGATCTGGCAAGAGGTAGTGTTTGTCAGGTTTTTCCACTGTAATATTACTTTCTCCCTTTCCATACCTTCCTCTTTGAAAGGAAGTCACTACACACATCTAGGGTGTGGGGAGCCATGCTCCCCACTCCTTGAGGGCAGGGTAGTTACATAAATTATTTGGAATTTTTCTATGTGGGAGATTTGTCTCTTTCCCATTTATTAGTTTATTCAATCATGTATTTACATAAGTATACACTGGTGATGTTAATTTTGATCACTTGGTTAAGGTGACTTTGATATTTAAAAAAGTTTTTTAAGTATGCTCAAGTCTTAAAGTTTAGTCATCCTTCATAGCAAAGAAAGCTGAGAACTTCCCTTGAATGGTCTTCAGTGTGGTGGTTCATGGAAACAGGTTTCACAGGAAGAGCTGTGGAGACAAAGCCTGGGAGACAAGAAAAGTGGTCCAAAGGGGGCAGGTTTCCTTCTATGATTCCCTTTACCCATTTTATGACAAGTTATAAATACAAATGAGATATTGCAGGAAGACCTTCCATGTTGTACTTTATATACTTATGAATTGTTTAAATTATTTTTGTAATGAATATTATATTTTTAATGTAAAAAAAAAGAGACAAAGTTAGCAGAGTATAGCAAAGAGAGGATTAAACCCAGATCCCTCTGAATGTCGACACCATATGTTCGCTCTACCTCACCAAGCCTTCTCCCTGGAGAGAAGCCAAACTGCCAGAAAGAGCCTGTATTATTCTCCAGAACAGAAACAGTTGTTAGATGAAAGGTGTTAATTCTATATTCTTAGAGGAACAGGCTGGTCCTGATAGCCATGGTTCAGCCAAGAGTGAGGGGAGGGGACATCTTGCAATTTTGTGGGTTAGTTGTCATCCAGGCATAGACTTGCTGCAGAAGCTGTGATTTTTCTGGAAGGGTAGTGAGAAGGGGCACTGATTCTAAAATCACACTAAGAAAAGAATATTTTAATTTTTAAAAATACAGGCTTAGGATCTGATCTTTTCCCTCACCTGGCAAGGAAAGATGTTTCCTAACCTGGCCAAACATGTCACAGGAAGCAGCTCCTCCCCTGCTGAATGGCAGCCTGCAGCTGTTCCTGAGATGGGAAAAACCTTTAACCCCTTCCTTCCCTTCCCCAGCATCCATCCACCCCTGCGCAGGCGGTAAATCCAAGCACTTCTCTCCAATGAGCCCTCTATGTCATAGACTGTACTACTGCTCATCCAAATATGATGCTTCACCCAGAAGAGGGTTACACATCTCTGCTAAACTCAGGCATGGCCATGGGACTTCTTTGGCATTAAGGACATGTGAACTTCTTGAAAGAGAAGCCTTAAGAGCCAGTATGTGGTTCACCAGATTCTGTTTTCCCTGCCCATGAGACCCCAGATCCATCACAGATGGTACCACTACCAGTCTGGGTCCTTGAGTGACCATGATAAGCAGAGAGCCCTGGGGTGGAAATGTGGCTTGATTGAGAAATAAACATTGCTGTTTTGAGCCACTAGGAGTTTCAGGGTGTTTGTTACTGTAACATAACCTAGCTCATCCTTACCCCTCCATGCCATGGAATGGCTGGTTCCCTGTCCAGCCACCCGAATGCCAACCTGAATAGCAGGTAAACCCCATCCATGTACACAAAGTTCCCAAGCAGTTTCTTGATCCACTATTTCAGAAGAGAAAACAATCTTCAATTCCCAATTACTTAAAAAGCCAGAGAGTTGTTCAATAAGCAACCACAATAAACCTACTCTGTGGAGACAGAGGGAGACCAAGGAAGGAAAAGGTGTCTACTAAGTACATGAGTAAACATCACACATACCGAACTTTCCTTCCCACAACCCCTGTAACCTACAAGGAAGAAGTGAAAAAGGGATCAACTCCCATGGACAAATGGGGGCAATTAATCAGTAGAAAAGGAATTTAACA